TCTCGGATTCTCCAGCATCTGCAGTTCCTACTATCTCTGATTCAATTATATTTCCTAAACACAGTTAGCAATGCAGTGTAATGCCATTAGTGTGGGTTCAATTCCCACACTGGCTAAGGTTTCCGTGATCGACTCTCCTTCTCAACCTCTCCCCTCACCTGCGGTGTGGTGACCTTCAGGTTAAATCACCGCCAGTTGTCTCTCTCTAATAAGAGAAAAGTCTGGTAGGACTATGGCGACAATGCCCTTACCTTTTACACGCGAAAATTCTTAACGGAACTTGCCCCATTCTATACATTTTTAATTTAAATCCAGAATTCCTTTCCACACTGTAGTTTCAAGAGTGGTCGTGCAACTACCCTCAAACTAAATCAATGTGTGTCACAGCTCCCAGGAATTAATACTGATTTTTTTTAGCTTCTTGGTCTAGCACGGACTTGCAGATCTCTCAATCTCTGCAAATATGCTATTGCTGATATCTCCTATAAAATAGTAATAGTTAAAAAAAAGTATTGGCCAAATTAACAGGACTGAAAGCTGATAAATCCCCCGTGCCTGATAATCTACATCCCAGGGTACTGAATGAGGGTGACCAAGGAGCTAGTGATGCACTGGTTACTATCTTCAAAAGTTCTCTGGAACAGTCCCAGCAGAATTGAGGGTGGAAAATGTAACCCCACTAGTTAAAAAAGGAAGGGGTGAGAAAACCAAGAATTATAGACCAGTTTGTTTAACATCATTATTGGGTAAAATGCCAGAGTCTGTTACAAAACATGTGATAACAGGACATTTTAAAAATATTGATAGGATGAGACAAAGTCAACATGCATTTATAAAAGGGAACTGATTTGTGAACGTGTGTGAAGGAATTCTACTTTATACTAATCTCCAGTTTTTAACTAATATGATAAGAGTAAGATTAAAGTAAGCTAGGGTAACTTCAAAATATTAGGTAAGTTATGGCAGGGCAACTCAGCCAAGTGGAATTCCTCTCATGGTCGGTGGACTGGCATGGACACTTGTTGTAACCGAGATGAGCCCAACTGCAGGAGGCATCACCAGTTGCACATGCTTGTGATCTGGAATTCAGAGTTCAAGCAGCAATTACAGGCACTGAGATGTGTCCGCGAGACAGAGGTCTATGTGGGTAACACATCGGAGAGGTTAAGGACAAGCAGGCAGATAGGAAGAAGGGTCTCGGCCCGAAACGTCAGCCGTCCTGCTCCTCTGATGCTGCTTGGCCTGCTGTGTTCATCCAGCTTTACACCTTGTTATGATAGGAAATGTGACTGACAGGCAGTTCAAGCCAAACTATCAGGTAGTGCACGAATCCCCAGAGGTCCCACTCATTCACAAGTTTTCTGTTCTGAATATTGGTGAGGGCAATGAACCCTTGGATGAGTGAGTGTGCTGCCTCCCTGGTATAGGTTGAAGGATGTCACAGACTGGTGGCAGGATAACAAACATTCACTCTCTCCACCATCGATACTCAGCAGCAGTGCATACCATGGACAAGATGCACTGCAGAAGTTCACCAAGCTCTCCTTTAAACAGCACATTACAAAACCATGCTCACTTCCATGTAAAAGGACAAGGGCAGTAGATACATCCGAATGCCACTTCCAAATCTCCTCCAAGCCATTCCTTATCCTGACTTGGAAATATATCAATGTTCCTCCGTGTCACTGAGTTAAATTCCCTCTTTCACAACGTTGTAGATTTACACATGAACTGCACTGGTTCATGACAACGGTTCATCACCATCTTCTCAAAGGGAAACTAGGGGTGAGTAATAAATGCTGGACAGGCCAGAAATGCCCACATTCCCTGATTTAATTTTTAAAAATCCTAAGCTCCCTGGAATACAAAGGAGATAGATATTAAGTTGAAGAAAAAACATTATGCTTATGACAGGTGTCAGGTAGGAAATACAATTTGGAAGCAAGTTCAATATAGAAGGGAGGTGAAAAATTACATAGGAGAAGCAAAGAGGGATTCCGGAAAAGAAGTCTTGCAGCCAACAGAAAAAGAAATCCTAATGTCTCCTGTAAGCACATCAATAATGAAATGGTGGGTAAAACAAGAAGTGGAGCCAATTCGGGACCAAAAAGGGGCTTTACACATATTTTTTATTCACTCATGAGACCTGGGTGTCCCTGCCAGGCCAGCATTTATTGCCCATTCCTAGTTGCCCCTTGAGAAGGTGGTAGTGAGCTGCCTTCTTGAGTCCACGCGCTATAGGTTGACCCACAATGCCATTAGGGAGGAAATTCCAGGATTTTGATCCAGCGACAGTAAATATTTCCAAGTCAGGCTGGTGAGTGGCTTGGAGGGGAACTTGTAGGTGATGGTGTTCCCATGTATCTGCTACGCTTGCCCTTCTAGATGGTTGAGATCATGGGTTTGGAAGGTGCTGTTGAAGGATCGCTGGTGAATTTCTGCAGTGCACCTTGCTGCTGCTATTGAGCATTGGTGATGGAGGGAGTAGATGCTTGTGCATATAGTGCCAATTAAGTGGGCTGAAGTTATCCACTTTGCCATTCTGTTTTTCCTACCAGTCTATTATTTAAATAGTTATAAATTAGTAAATGCTAATATACAAAGGAACAGGAGTATCCTTCTGTACCAATCAATGACAGCAAGCATGAAAGTGCACCAAGCAGTTAGGAATACAAATGACATGTGGGCCTTTATTGCAAAGGGACCTGAGTAAAGAAGCAATGAACAGCAGCTGTACAGGGCCTTGGCGACACAACATCTGGACCACTGTATGCAATTTTGTTCTCCTTATCTAATATAATATGTACTTGCCATTGAGGAGGTACAGCAAAGATTCACCAGATTAATTTTTATGATGGCAGATTTATTGTGTGAAGAGTGTTCAACCATGTCTGTTTTCAGTGCAATTTGAAGATTGAGGGGACCTCATAGAGCAATAGTGTCACATAGCATAGAAGAAGCTGTTCAGCCCATTTACAGGGTGGCATGGGCAGGTTGAGCTGAAGGGCCTGTTTTCATGCTGTAGACCGCTATGACTCTATGAGGCTGTGCCAACCCATTTACATTAGTCCCAGTTTCCAGCACCTGGAACATAGCCTTGAATATAATGACATTTCAAAAGCTCATCCACATACTTTGAGATGGTGAGATTTCCCATTTTTGTGCCTATTTTTCCTCCATTGCAAACTTTATAAAACTTCTGTCCTTTTTAATGACTATCTATTTGGCATTTTGTGCACCATTTCATAGTTTTTTTTGTTCATTTAGTCATTGTTAGGCAAAAGTGAGAGACAAGGAAAAGTTTCACAACTCGAGCTAAAGACACTGCAGGGAGAATGTGCTATACTCTGAAACAAAGGAGGATCATGGATGGAAGGAAATCTGAAGCTATGTTCAGGAGACAGATCATTGACTAAGACAGGTCTGCAATCTGCTGTCTCTGTACTCTCTCCCATTATTACTGGCACCAAAATCAATATTGAATTCTTGTTGGAACTGACATGTTTCAGTATATAAACAAATACCAGAGCAGCCAGCTGGACTCTTCTGCTCCATTCAGCTACTTTTATCTGGAACTTCTCTCTCGTTTTCAGAGAAACAACTTCCACAGCCATCCTACTGCACACAATATGTAACTGGTACTGAGAATGGGTGGGAAGGCAGATGCCGCTGTATAGGGTGCAGACACGATATCGGAAAGGAATGATAGGGACTAGCAGTGTGTCTGAGGTATCTTTCAAACCAAGCTAGCTTGAGTCCACCTCATGGATCATGGCTGCTTGTTGCTGCCCAAATCAAAACAGATTGCATAAATGTAACCAAGATACAAGGAGCTAAATATTCAGATAACCCTCATTAACTACTTGGTAATGCAGAAAAATTACAATTTCCTGTCCGGTAATGGTGTTCTGAGACAACCACAGTTTTTCTTTTTTGCCTTGACCTTGCGCTGCATTATATAGGATACATCCTTTCATTATAACTTCCAGGGTATACTCATTGCATTTTGTATACCTAGACATGTTTGTCAGTGATGTCTAAGTTAAGCTTTTAAAATATAGATATTCAAACTATGCTTCAGCTTGTCTAAAATTAAAAGAACATTTATAGATATACCAACAGGATGAGTCACTGCTTAATGAGATTCAGTGACAAGATGGTAACTGCAAAGAGAATTTTTGAACCACTGAATATTGAATAAATTATGTCCCAACAGTACAAATGAATTGCATTAATAAATAACATTGCATTTCAGATGCACTTAGGGAATGGAAATGAAAAAGTCCAGCTCAAAGTGAAGTTGAACAAATTCACTAGACAGGAGTTTATCTTTACATATAAAAGATTTAGCCTGAAATAGCAACTGATTGCCTGTTTTCTGACATATGTTGCCTCTTAGCTACACAATTTGTCTAATCCTAAATAAAAATGACAATTCTGGTGCATAAGGACAAGTGTAAAAGTTTAGTTTGCCTACAGTAATACTCCAGATTTTCTTTCTGGTTTACCTCAGTAATGCCACATCTGTGATGTACATTACTACTATGCACATAATTTCCAGGAAATGACGACGAGCAATTGATGCCATTTTTGAAGTGAATTCACCTGACAAAGGAGCAGATGCTCGAAAGCTTGTGATTCCAAATAAACCTGTTGGACTATAACCTGGTGTTGTTTGACTTCTGATATTGTCCACCCCAGTCCAACACCGGCACCTCCACATCATTGATCATTGACACGCACAAATTTGCTGAATTAGTGCTGCAGTGATTGCCGTTATTGATAAGACCATTACAGAATGGCGCTGCCATACTCAGAATCAATAGCTATCACTTGGCACGTTGCTTATATTGAAGAATAAAGTTGAAAGCTTAACATTGTCACAACCTTAAAGGAAACGGAGGGTGATACGTTTACTAACTTGGCCCAAGAGATTTACTGAAGACTCCCAGTAAAATAATGAACCTTTTGACAGCCAAGCATCTATGAAGTGATGCACAAGAGTAGCGCCAATGCTAACACAGGAGTCTATCCCAATATTCAAATCACCATCCCTCCAAAACTTCAGACAGAGTCACATGATGGAAAGCTGGTTGGGGAAGGGCTGCCCTGACATGCTGCCTTCAAATCTCTGGATTGTTTTGATCCCATATTCAAATGATTGAATCATTTTCAATTCTTAGAATCGGATATTCAATCTTTACACCAAATGATCAAATCTAACAGTGGCCAGTCAAATACCACCTCGAGCCAAGATGGGAATCCATCCGAGGTACAGGAAAGTTAGTCCAGCTCACCACAAGATGTGAGCAGGTTTGTCTCCTATCTTTCACTTCAGCTTTTCTTCCTCTTCTGTTGAGGGGTATTTAGGGTCTAGAAAATATTCTTTGTTAGAGGCAAGGATAAAGGACAGGCACAAGAGGGATCCATATACTATCAGTATGTATTACTATATGTTAAATTTCCAGGGCTGGAATCCCTGTTCAGCCTGATGAGTTATGATAGTGCTTTGACTGGATGTTGTGACTACCTATTAAGCAATCTATTTGCTGGATTGTTACTTGTACCAACTAACAAGCTGCCAGGAAAAGATCAACTTTGTAAGGTGGACAAATCTTAAGATGAGCCGAAGTTATTTTTAAAAGTTTTAAAACACTGAAAGAAAGTAGAGTATATTTAGCACCATTGAAGGAGTATTCTCTTATGATAACCAGGTGTACATTTTTCATCTTTTCCTATTATTGAGTCGAGACATCTGTTGAGATAGCACTTCTGAAGTCTGTTTGTTTACTCAGAGAATTTCATGGGTTCTTAGCTGCAATATTAAACATTTCACAAGAGCTTAAAATTGTTTACACAGTTGACTTGAGGTGACTGTTTGTTTACTCAGGAGCATTGTAGGCTACAAATCCTCATCTGCCACAGGGGATGGGTCAAAGATTTCCCACAAGTAACAGAAAATTTGGGTACTGCTCGTTTGTAACACTCCAGGGTGCTGAAAAAGGGACTGGATGAATCAATGAGGAAAAAAAAAGTGATCTGGGGCAGACTTATGATTCTATGGTCAAGATATGTATTTCATGGCACAGGGAAAAAGGTGTTCGATACTGTTATTTTTTGAAGTTGTACTCTGGCAACTGATTTTGTTATGCCTTGCAATTCTCTGCAATAGCAAGAGATGAGGGTTGATCAAACATAATTGCTGCTCAAACTGCAGTGTCTTTTCTGCAATTTGAAGATTGCCCTCAATTCACATTTCATCTGACATTGGGAAAAGAACAATCTGTGCTCAACGTACGGTGAAAATATCTATGAATATTTGCAATCAGGAACTGGAGGCCAGTGTCTGTTAAAGATGGGTAAACAGACCTGGTGTCAATAGATACCATCTATTGAACAGACCATAATAAAGTCATTATCTTGCATAGTGACCTCATAGTCTCAATGAGAATCGTGAAGGCTTGACATCCTTAGATTTAGTGCAATAGAATATTTATTACCAGTGTCAGAGCTCAAATGATCTTACAACCTTTCATTTGGATTTGTGGTTATGTGCATGCATCAATCATTAGCACTGTAAAGTAGACAGAAGTGTTATTTTGTGTGGGCAATCACAAGGTTATTCCTGTGGCTTCTGTGCACTTTATGAAGCTATTTTCTACAACATGGCTTCAGAAACCGTGGGTCTTGGTCAAAAACTATGAAGAAACAAGGCTGCAGAGCTTTGGACAAGCGTTAACGGCTATGTGGCCTCTTTTAATCCTCTATTTTTAAGAAAGAAGGCCTGGTCTATCTGGCTGATCTCTACAGCCCAATTCCTGCTCCATAGAAGTCAGTGTAAAGGTAGGTTCTTTAAAGCCCTGAAGATTACACACTTTGGCCCTCCTGCAGCCTCAATGTCAAAATCATCCTCCTCCCACCAACCCCCATGTCCCACAGTACTCACTGTGACCGTCATCACGTTAATTTTCAAGTCTTGAAATGAAGCCACAGTGGAAAAAACACAGATGTACAAACTAGAATTTGACCCTTTGAGCCTCATCCACCATTCAATAGGATCGTTGCTGATCCTTCATCTCAGTGCCATATTCCCACTTTTCTCCAAACCCTGTGGTGCCTTTAATCTCTAAAAACATATCAATCTCTTTCTTGTGTATTCTCAGCGACCCAGACTCCACAGTCTTAGGTAGTAGGGAATTCCATAGGTTCGCTATCCTCGGAGTAAAGAAACATTTTCTCAACTCAGCCCTATATGACCCACTTCATATCCTGATACTGTGATTCCTGGTTCTAGACTCTTCAGCTGAGAAAAACATCTCCCAGCATCTATTCTGTGCAGCCTTTATGGAATTTTATATGCCTCAGTCCGATTCTCTCTTATTCTTCTTAACTTGAGGCCCAGTTGGACCAATTTCTCCTTATTAGGACAGTCTTGGCATCCCTGGTGAACCCTTGCTACACTCCCTCTCCAGCAAGAATATCCTCTCTTAGGTGGCGACACCAAAACTGTACTGAGAACTCCAGGTGTGATTTCATCAAAACCCCGTATAACTGCAATAAAGTATCCTGACTTCTGGACTCAAATTCTCTTACAACAGAGGCCAAAAAACGATTTGCGTTTCCAATTGCTTTCTGCAGTGGTGTCTACTTTCATTGACTGTGTACAGTGACGCCTAGATCCCTCTGTTCATCCTTATTTCCCAATATATCACCATTTAAATGATAGCCTGCCTTTCTGCTTTTCACATGTTATACAGTGCATAACTAAATATTTATCCATGTGTGCCACATGTTTGTCCACACACTCATTTTGTCTAGATCACCCTCACAATTTATAATCCCACCTCACAACTCATAAACCCACCTCATAAAAAGTTTGAGAAGCACTGTTCTAAATCCCTCCTCAATACCTTCTTGTCCTACAAGTAAAGCAACATATTCAACAAATGACCACCAGGAAATGTAATGCCTTCAAGAAAAGCCTCTGATGTTTATTTCTGAGGATTGACACATTTCGACAGCATTCCATGCCCTGACTAGCTGAGACTCTCTTACCTTGTAGCATGGCAGAGGTAGTGTAATAATTAAACGGTACATTCTTCACCATGTGCTCGTCAGGATCCAGCGATCCGAGTTTCTCACCCACCAGCACGGATTTCCCTGTCCCAGCATTCCCCACAAGCATGACGGGCCGGCGTCTATCCAACAGCTTCTCCATGAAATAACGGATACGAATGGTCTCTACGGTGTGCACCAAACATGCCTAAAAAGAATAAAAACCGTAACCAGATCAACAAACAGCAAGCCGCAACATTTCAGCAATTCTCTGACATGTATGTTACCAAAGTGAAATTTACCACTTACAAATGCCTATCCATCTCTCACATAAGGACAATGCAGCGGTTGAGTTGCTGTTTCCTGTTACCAAGTTACATCAAGACACCAGCAGACCTCATTCTCATTCATGCGGATGGAAAGTACGTAGTAGCTTTAAGCGGGTAGATGTAAATTAAGAAGCTATAACTTTTAAATGCGCTAAACAATTGAATGTGTAGCTCCTTTAAATATTTTTGGCCACCCACATACATTAAACTAATGAGGTCAACTTATATTTGGCTTGTGTTAGAACTTCTTAGCTGTTGTGAAACTTCCCAGCTTCAGGGAAATGTTGGACACAGCCCATATCTTGGCACAGCGCATTAGCATTCCAATGCAATGTGCTATCCTGGCACCAGTCATCTAACTCTAATTCACAAAGATTCATATTAACAAACGTGTGACAACAGAAGGCAAAATAGACTTCCAATTACAAATTAGCATGGAAATGAGAAATCTATGCAAACAGCACATCATGCACTTTTAAAATTGAGAAGTATTATGCCTGAAGCTAATTGCATACCTGCAAAGGAATATCAGGATCAAGATCAAATTTTGGAATCAGCTTGGACCAGGGCTCGAACTTCTTTGTCTCGGAATCAATGTAGTAGTCAAAAATGGTACCTTGCGATGGGAATTTGATGGTCTTGAACTCTGATGTCCACCACTTACTGAACTCTACTCTGTAGTCAATAAGCTGGCAGGAAACAAACAGAAATTAGTGTGTTTTGTCTTTTCCTGTTCAAACTTAGGTTCCCTTAGCTTCCAGTCTAGGAAACGAGGAATAGAAATAGACTATACAACCTCTCCAGGCTGTTCCGCCATTTAATTATATTGCGGCAGTTTTGTTTTTTGCTTCAACTTTATTATGTTCATGTTCCTCTCTTACAAGAAAACCTATCTAAGCTGTGTAAAATTTATGTTAACCTAACATCTACAGACTTTTAGGGGAATGAATCTGAATTTCCCCCTTCATGAGAATGTGCTTCCAGACTGCACACTTGAATGGCCTTGCTCCAAAATGGTACCCTCTTGTTTAGGATTCTCACACCAAAGGGAATAGTAATTTCTGCACCAACTGTGGTATGTAAAGATTCATCTTGATAATGATGATATAACTGATGACAGGATTCTGATATCAGGAACAGAGACACCAGTCTAGAAAGAACATGTGAAGAGAGGAGTTTTAGACTCTGCACTAGGCAGTGTCTTTTGAGGACGTGTGTAAAGATCCAAATAAAGCAGCATCACAGTTTATAAGGAGCAGAAGAGCAGAACATAAGGATTTGAAGATATGCAAACAGCTTCATCATTAAGTAAGTGTGGAGCTGGAGGAACACAGCAGGCCAGGCAGCATCAGAGGAGCAGGAAAGCTGACGTTTTGGGTCAGGACCCTTCTTCAGAAATCTGACTCCAGCATCAGCAGTTCTTACTATCTCTTTCAAATAATGAGTTGACTAACTTTGATAGCATTAAAACATAATATCCACAGTCACAGGACAGTGTTGCACCATATAATAAGACATATACATGAAGTTCATGAGAACACACTCCATTAACAGGAATCTTCACACACAGACCTAGTATTAGCAGATCTTGTACTTAAAATGAATGCATAAACCTAACCTATACCAGCAATAACAAAAGAATTTAATGGTATAGCTGCATTTTTGTCCTGAGTTCACAATATTGTTTACAATAAATTCTGGGAAAAGCTTAGGTTATTTTAGCCAATTTATATATCGATAGCTAAGATTTCTGAAGGCAGCAAAATATGCAAAATTTGAACACTAATGCACCATTTCATGAGTAATGCTCAGTCTGTGTTTGCATCACATCACAGGTCTGCAAGCATGTTAGATCCTCAAACCAGACAGACTGTAGTTTGAATAATCATTAAAACTATACTTTCTAAAAAACTCAGCCTTTTGTCTCCGCTTTCACTTGAAATGAAACAAGCCCGGGTTAGGATTGACCACGTTCCAATTCTGGGCACAGTCCAAAAAGGTGGCATGGTGCAAGATTAAAGAACCATAATCAAGAGTGAAGTTATATTTATATTGTAAAGCCGGCTGACTTACTCTGGTACAGCTCCAGTTACTGAAAGCTGACAGTCAGGAGCTAGGAGTGCCCTGGCTCCTCCTCAAACCACCCTCTCTCTGGTTCACACTCATTGTTTAGCTAAGGGAGGACAGAAATCATTAGTTTATCAGAGATGGCCCGAGCCACTCGGAGTTTCCCAGGTACCAGCCCTTTGCAGGAACATGATTCATAGCCTTACCTCACAGACCAAAGAAATGCACCGTTAACCCCAACTCACCGCGTTCCCGGGACTGCAGCCCCGCCACAGCAACCAGGAGGGGAACTGACATCACGACCCACCTATCCCTTACACTGAATGGCTACACAATATGTCAATCATTTACCGCAACATCCGGTGACATGACAAAACTTGATAAATGATATCCCACCCCATCTTCACCTCGATTGGCTACTCCGCCCGCCAATCACGCCTCCTCTTTCCGGTGGCATGACGTTACGCGGTTGGCGGGACATTCCCTTTCCTGCTCCTGATTAGACAATTGGCCCGTCCATCATGAGGTCATGACGTCGGGCATGAGGAGCCTTCCCTTTGTTCTCATTGGTCACACCTGGGATCATGGCGCACTGTGATTGGTCGGTTGTGCCGTCACGTTGCGGCTGCGGGGGGCCCAAGGCAG